TAAAAAATATATACTTTATTGATTTCAGAGAGGAAGGGAGAGGGATAGAGCTGGAAACATCAATGATGGGAGAGAAACATCGATCAGCTGCCTCCTGCACACTCCCGACTGGGGATTGTGCCTGCAACCAAGTTACATGCCCTTGACCAGAATCGAACCTGGGACCCTTCAGTCTGCAGGCCGACACACTATCCACTGAGCCAAATTGGCCAGGGCTGTTGAAATGTCTTTAAAGCCATGTATTGCCAAACCTTGATCTCACAGTGGAGGAAATGTGAACGCTAACTTGACAATGAGCCCTCCCTGCCACTCCCCTGGATGCAGGGAGCAGAATCCTGCTCCTATTTATAAAATCAATGGTCATAAGAATGATCTATTTAAATACAAGAGTTGCTAAGTTTTTTATTCTCTGTAGGCCTGCAACCTCATAATTGCTTCAAGACCTCAGCCCTCCTTCCAACGTTAAAAAAGAAATTATGACTTCCAAATGAAAATAACTAAGTCCAAGATTTTGTTTCTAAATTTAAAATGAATGTGCTGTTTAATCCTTAAGAGCAGAAAAGAAAATGCATATAAACTTAAGAACTTCTTAAACAAGCTTCCCTTGGTTTTCACTGCCAAAACAACACAACTAAAATATTTCAAATGAGTGATTCCTTTTATAACTCAACCATGAAACAATTTATCAAAATATCTTATTTCTGTACTAATTGCCTCAAAAAGAAAAATGTTCACTGACCCAGAACATTCCATCTAGACAGGAACTGGACACAACAAAGCACCAAAGGGAAATATTTCAGCAAAGTATTCGTGTACTAAGCAATTAATGTGAAGAAAAAGTTACTGTGACCTTTCCCCCAAAGTTGCTTTTAGAAAAAAAAGCACACCTTACTCTAATATAACTACATGAAAAACATTTCAAATTTATGCATTTAGCATTTGAAGCCAAATGGGAAGTCCCTGGTTTTTCTTTGCAATTAGTTGAAAAGTTATATATTTGCAATTTATAAACCAAAAGAAGTAAAATGAGTCATGGAAAGCTCTATCCCAACAGAGCAGACTTAAAAAAAATAAAATAGGTAGGATGGGGGGAGAAAGGCTGACAAAACAGCTCTCATTTTAAAACACTGAAATGTGTCCTCATCTCATTTCCCACCCGTCAGTGATTTCACCGGAGCGTCGCCGGGCAGGGCTTGAGTTGCTCAATAAGACGCTGTCCTTTCGGACCGGCTGGCAACTGTTCCCTCACGAGGACTCGCACTTTGGGACTCGGAGCACCACCCCAAGGACCGCACAGCGCGGATTTCATCCATCCCGGAGGCCGGGAGCTGAGGTCCCAGGAGCTTCACATGGTTATCCGAGCTCTGCGCTGGCCTCCAGTCTGGCCCCGGCACTGAGAGACTTGGACGCACCAGGAAGGCAGCATTAATGAACAGACAGGGTGAGCCGAGACTGTACACATAAAACACGACACTTATTGTGCTAAAGAACAGATTTTATTTATCGTTTTCCCAAAACACTAAAATAGCACATGGCATGGCATCTAGCACACAATATAGACTGATATATGCAATCCATCATCCCGGAAATGGCTGTCTGGCTTTGGGACTCCTTAAAAATTTACACTTCTAAGTGACCTTTATCCAAGTTATCAGCACACAACAAAACAGGAGCGACCTCAGGGAAACCTTAGCCAAGAGGTACCTCCACGCCTAAAAGCTGCAAGCCTGCCGCAGGCAAACACGAGGTGCCTCTCTGCCTGGTCTCATCAGGTGACGCTGCTAGGGTTCCCGGTGTGAGAAGGGCTGAGCTTGATGCTGCAACTTTCACTGTGGGGCCTCCATTAAAATTTCATGTCAAGTGGGAGGAAAGGAAGGCGAGAAAAGAAATCAAGTTTTTCTCCCGACCAAAATGATTCTACAAAATGCAGCAATGCCGACAGCACATCATCTCAGCAAGGCCTCGAGCAGGTGGAGGGCCCCACATCACAAACACCCGCTTCCAGGAGATGGTCAGCCAGCCCGGGAGACAGCGTCCGGGAAGGAGCCCCTCGGGTGGGTGATGGTGTGTAAGGGACTTTATGTCACATCTTTACGGTCTAATCTGACATCTATGCAGGTTATGATCGTGTTCACCCCGAAACGGTCTCCCGATCCTGAACGGCTTTCAAGCACAATTTAAAACACGCTCAGAAATGTCCTTCCACGTCACCAGCTTTCCATGAGTTTCAGTCCCACTCGCTGAAGTCCGTCAGGACACAGAAACCAGGGCAGAAACCTCGCGGCTGCACTGTTCGCATCAGGCAGACTGGAAAGAAATCCTATGACAACTTGTAAAGGAATCTCACTATTTTTATTGTGCAGCTTGTACCTTAGCCGCGGCATGATGGCTCTGCTGCTTCAGAAGCCTGCCCAGCCGAGGTGCCGGCGCCCTGGCAGGTCCACGGGGGTCCGGGGTTTGCTCTGTCTGCTCGGGCAGTGCGGGCTCTGAGAGCCCGGGAAACGCGCTGCCATCGCTGGGAGTACTTCAGGCCGCGCGGGCCGCGCTGTGGACAGGACCGAATGCCAGCCAGAGCCTCGCCCCTCCAGAAGAGCCCTCGGTGTGCCCGCAGAGATGCCCGTTCCTGACCGCAAGTCGCATGGCAGTCCTTCCCCCCCAGGCTCTCCTCTGCAGCACGGGCCTCTGTGGCTGTTGGTGGCCCTGGGCCCGCCTCCCAGCCAGTCCCTCACCAGGGCTGCCTCGACACCACAGGACACCCCAGCAAAACAGTCCTCCGCAGGAGCAAAGAACAGATCCACAGTCTGGCCCCGAGCCGCCGGGGAAGCCGAATTTCTTCTTAATGATTCTTTCAAACAGGCAAGCGCTTTGGTGCCACTGTGAAGCCAGGCCTCACTCGGGTCACTTTTCATTTCCAATGATAACGTCTCCTTTTGTAAATTTCCATGAACATCACCCGCAGGCTGCTTCGCCCAGGAAGGGATGCCTGGTGGGCGAGGGCTCTCCTGTGTTCGAAGGCCACACGGTCGCTTGGCCGAGTCCCCTGGCGGCACTTCCGCGAGGCAGGTGCCCAGAGTCCCTGTCCCGTCCCTCATGCTGCGTTTCTGCGGCGGGCCCCAGGACACGCCTGTGCCAGTCGGTGGAAGGTCGTCAGTGGATCTCGATATGAACCTGGAACAGACAACCACATTGAAGTGTCACAGTGACGAGGAGTCCAGAGAGTCACACACAGCTATTTCCTAACAAACAGGAAGGCCTCTCGTACACGAGCCCTGCCTTTGATGGAAAACGGGACAACCACCTGCCAATGAAAGATTACAATGAGAAGAACAGCACTGCATTCACATAGCTTCCGAACAGCACTGTAAACATAACGCTGGGTTTGTGTGTGCACAGCAGCAGTTGTGTGTGTTGGTTAAATAAAGTGCCCTCCCTGTACCAGGATGGAACTGGACGAGGCCATGGCGCCGCCAAGGCCTTGCCTGCAGGGCCCCAATGAGATGACGCTCAGAGCTCCGCGGGGACGAGCCACTCCAAGGAGCGGAGGCGACTTTACTTTTGGTTCCGGTGTTGACCAAGCCCTCCCACTGCTGTGACACGGACAGAGCCCACGAGCGAACGGTTGAGAAGCAACACCACAAGCACCCAATTCAGAGACCAGGCTGTCCCTGCGAGAGAAGCGGCTGCAGCAAGAGGCGCCGGCTATGGGCTCGGAGCAACGGAGGCAGGAAGCTAACTACCCTGGGAACCAGGAGCCTCTTTGCGCTGTAACACTGCTCTGTGTGCGAATGGTTTAGAAATGGAAGGAGAGCACAGTGAGGAGAAAACAGCCTCTTGTGGAGGCCAGAGTGGAAGGCACAGGCTAAGGATGGGAGCCAAGCGGGAAGGCACGGCCACTGGCACCAGGAGCCTGGACGGCCTCTGCAGGGGGTGGGGAGACACAGGGTCCCTGCCGCGTGCTAGGTTGCGGTTAAGATGAATTACTCTGGCGGCAGTGCGGTGGGTAGACGGGAAAGGAACCACATGAGGCCAATCGGGAGGCTATGCCAACAGCGCAGGGAAAGCCACGGCGTAGGGCTGTGAGAGCAACGAGGAGAGAAAGTATTTCTTTAAAGGGAGTGGCTGACCGGACGTAGAAGAGGGTGAGATAACCCAGAGGTTTCTTCTGACTTTCAATTCTGGGTCACGAGGGGCCATTAACTGAGAGTAGGGGGGCATTCAGATAGGGACACACCGGGAGCTGGACTGGGGCTTCGCTGAGCACCTAGATTAAGAGACCTCATCTTGTCCTAGCGGGGTGGCCCAGTGGATAGAGCGTCGGCCTAAGGACCAAAGGGTCCCAGTTCGATTCTGGTCAAGGGCACGTACCTTGTTTGCAAGCTCCTACCTGGCACAGGCCCTGGTCAGGGCTCGTGCAGGAGACAACCAATCAATGTATTTCTTTCACATCAATGTTTCTCTCTGTCTTTCCCTCTCTCTTCCACTCTCCCTAAAAATCAATGGAAAAATATCCTCAGGTGAGGATTAACAAAAATAAATAAGTAACTACATACATCCTATCCTATCCTATATAATAAAAGGCTAATATGCAAATTGACCAAACGGTGGAATGACCAGTCGCTATAACGCACACTGACCACCAGGGAGCAGATGCTCAATGCAGGAGCTGCCCCCTGGTGGTTAGTGTGCTCCCCCAGGGGGAGCACTGCCCAGCCAGAAGCCGGCTCAAGGCTGGTGGTGCCTCCACAGCAGCGCTAAGAATGTCCAACTCCTTGGCGGGCCTTAGCTGTCAGTGGACAGCCCCTTAGGGCTCCTGGACTGCGAGAGGGCACAGGCTGGGCTGAGGGGGAACACCCCCCCGCCAGTGCACAAATCTCATGCACCGGGCCTCTAATAAATATATAATAAAATAAAGACCTCATCTCAGAGATGTCAGAGCTGGAGGATGGCACTCGGAGGCCAGCCTTGGGAAGTGGTATTGGACGTGGACAGAACATGGTCATGCTGAGGGCACAAGGCCAGGATCTCCGAGACCTAAAGACCATACAGATCAGGGCCACCAGGGAGGGAGACGCCAACTGCACTGAGTGATCAAAAAGAGGGGTTTTAGACACATGTGTTCCCTGCACAAACAGCTTAGTGAGCTCCAGGTAAACCTCGAAAACTACACACAACCTTCCAGCCATCATGGGGTGACCCCACCTCAAGGAGCATGGGAGACTATATCAGAACATCTCTGCCTAGTTCATTTCTATCTCACCCCCTTTTAACTTTTTCTATGCTTTATAATACATGCCATATTTTGGTAGAGCAAAATATATAGTTTATAAATAGTATATGTAAATAGGGTGTCCCCCCAAAAAGTATACACACCTAAATTGATGTTTCTTTTCAGATTTAACCCACTGGAATTACTAATGGGAGCCAGAGTATATGCATTTTTTGGAACACACTGTAACAGCTGACAGCTCAATTTTGAAAATGAGACATATTTTTTTTTTTAAATATATTTTATTGAGTTTTTACAGAGAGGAAAGGAGAGAGATAGACAGTTAGAAACATCGATGAGAGAGAAACATCGACCAGCTGCCCCCTGCACACTCCCCACTGGGGGTGCACCCGCAACCAAGGCACATGCCCCTGACCGGAATCGAACCCGGGACCCCTCAGTCCGCAGGCCGACGCTCTATCCACTGAGCCAAACCGGTTTTGGCTGAAAATGAGACATATTTTAACAAGCACTGCCTTTATCATTATGCAAAGTGTGTGTATACATTTCTTGGGAACACCCTATATATATCTGTGGGGCATGCACAAAACTTTCTGCTAGCAGTGTGACCATTACTCTATATACATCTGGAAAATATAAAGCAATATCTACACTAATAAAAGAGAAACATGGTAATTAGTGTCACTCCGCTACCCTTCCCATTGGCTAATCCTTCTGTCACTCACAGAGTAGGGCTGAGATATGCAAATTAACTGGCAGCCAAGATGGCGGCAGGCAGCCAGGCAGCTGATGCGAACAGGGAGGCTTGCTTGCTTCAGTGACAGAGAACTCCAGCCTGACTTGCCGGCCTCTCAGCTGCAACTCTCAGCAACTATGTTGCAAATAAAGAAGCTAAAAAAACCTCAGAAACCTGCTTTACTCGGAGGAGCTTCAGCCAGCCGGACCACAACATTGCATCAAATACAGACTGTAAACAAAGGCCAGAAACCTGTTTTCAGCAGCCGAGGCCTCAGAGCTAAAGCTGGCCCAGAGTAAAAAAAATAAAAG